CCAGGTCACAAGAAACTCATAATTAAGGAAAAAACAAAGATGTCCCAGAATGACCATGAAAATATAAGAATCAAGATTATGGCAGCCCCAATGACAGGAGTTTCAATAAAATAAAATGCTCTGTCTTAGACTTCAGTCCAGGAACTATTATGCTATCCATTTCCAAACCGTAAAAGAGAGACTAACTTGAAAATTTTTCAGATTTCTTATATACCATTTATTTTATGCCTTATAGAGTGAAGTGGGGTAACAGAACACCCACTATAAAATCTATTTTTCTAAAATGTCAGTCTGAGTCTTTGCTAATGAGGCTATAATTTTGTCACAGTTGCCTTTTATGTACAACACCATTTGGGGGCAAATAAGGAAAAAGAAAAAATAATTCTTTGCATGTTGAGAAATAGATTTAGATATATACAAATATCTCTGAATCAGTTCTCCCTTTCTTTCCACCCCCCTTTGCTTTTTTTTTTTTTTTTTTTTTTTTTTTTTTTGCTCATTTGTTTAAATCTGGGACAGTATTAAGATCTAAACATTAGTGAGAGGTTGGACATTTTTCTATCCTTTTGGTCTTTTAAAGTGTATCCACTGAGGACTTATAAATGAAGTTCTAATGTTTTAATTATACATGACATCATGTATTTCAATTAATCCTTTAATTATACCTATGTCTACATGGGGAAATTTGAGTTTCTATCAGAGACATTGCAAACACTTCTATGATTTAAGTTGAAATCATCTTATGATCTTATTCTTTGATTTTGTAATTGTTGAATTGTAGACTTGCCTGAAACATGAACAAAGGGAAAAAGAAAGACTGATATGGAGCTAATGAAATAAGAGAGTCAAAGGAATTGTCTTATGGTAGTCTCTAACTAATAAGGACAGTTCAGAACCAGTCTCCCAGCGAGAATCATTCATGTCTCTGGAAGCCATTGGAAGAATATTTTGATTAAACTTGTCATATTTTACTTCCACAGTAAATATGTTAAAATGTATTCTTTGTATAAAGAAAGATACTTAAAATAAGTCCCTGATACTTATAATGACTTGAAATTAACCCTCCAATTACAACTCCTGGGTGAGGCCTGTTTATGTGTAGATGCTCATTACAATTATTAGGAGTTATCTCTTCTGTCTCTTTCCATCCAACTCTGTAGTTTATTTATTGAACAAGGCGATGAATTGATCCCTCCAAATCCAGATGTTCTGGGACCTCTAAGGCTGCAGTAGCCATAGTTTTATGACAAGATTCCATCCAAACCCTGTGCCATTGAAACTTGAAACATGATTTCTCTTCTGAAACTGATTGCCTTCAAACAACTAGTCACTAATTTTGATTTAATTATGTTAGATTTAGTAGCTTAGGCAAGGTTTTATTGGAATGTATCACAGCCCCTTCTTAAGTATAATTGACCTGCTTCATCTTCACATCTCTTATGTTATAGTCAGTGCTTTTGTTTTCTAGGTTATCCACTACAGAACCCGTTTCCTAAACTGCTGTTAAATTACACAACTTCTTGGTTGGGGTGACTGACAAGGAGCATATTTATTTCAATGCATGACACGCAGAGTCCAGTTTTAGTACAGCATACCAAGTGTTCCACTAACAGATGTTGAACTAACATCTGTTCATCTAAATGTCCCTGGGTGTGGTCCAAGCTGCTCACTCCTGTTATTAAAGTGCTAAATAATAATAATAATAATAATAAATCTGGGCCGGCCCGGTGGTGCACTGCCGAGGGTTCGGATCCCACATACAGACCGGTTCCCCCTCACTGGCTGAGTGAGGCGCGGGGGCAACACTGAGGGTTGCGATCCCGTTGCCGGTCCCGGTCCGGTACGGGGGCGACCCTGAGGGTTGCGATCTGTTGCCGGACACGGAAAAAGACAAAAAAATAATAAATAAATAAAAATAATAATAATAATAATAAATCAATGTTTTGGTGCTGAAAAAATAATTTTTGAGCATTTGGTAAAAACATTGTTCCCAGCTACATATATTGAGTTCTATATTAGGAACTGGGATTATACGTTAACTAATATTCTTATGTCTGTGTCTAAAGGATCAACTAATCTGCGGTTTTAAGTGATACAAAAGACTCAGTACAAAATGGGGGGGGGGCTGTGACTAGTACCACTGTGACAGATTCTCATAAGCTGTGAGGACACCTTGCGCTCCTTGCCACGCACCAGTCTGCTCCCACGCTACTCCCAGGCTCACATCTTGGTGTTCTATGCCTGAAGAGTGAATGGACTTGACCTAGTGCTGTTTTCAAGGTACAACTGCCTTGAGTGAATGATGTCAGGCTCCCCAGAAGTTTCAAATGGAGAGATCACTGTGTCATTTAGTACCAAATTTTCAAAAATCTATCGCTAAAGCTACTTATGTGTACAAGACCTGAAGCAGAATCACTGCTTAAAAACAAAAAAGATAGAATATTAGAAATATAGTGATGTCAGAGCCAATTCTCAGAATAGGCAGTTCCCAGTTGATAAACTGGGGTTTAAAGCTCAGTATAAATTTTATGATAAAATTATTAGCATGGCTTCAACCATGCTATGAGTTAAATAGGCTTTATCAGGCTGGACTGGGAATCCAGTCCCCAGGTAAAA